TGGAGTGCAATGGCACTATCTTAGCTCACTGCAACCTCTTCCTTCCGGGTTCAAGTGATTCTGCTGCCTCGGCCTCCCTAGGAGCTGGGATTACAGGTGCCCAGCAAGCACCCATGCCAGGCTAATTTTTTTGTATTTAGTAGAGATGGGGTTTCACCATGTTGGTTGGGCTGGTCTTCAACTCCTGACCTCAGGTGATCCACCTGCCTCAGCCTCCCACAGGGTTGGGATCACAGGTGTGAGCCACCATGCCTGGCCTAACCCTCCTGATTTTAAAATGTTGGCAAATTTTAAAATCACTTTTTTTTTTTTTTCAAGATGGGGTTTCACCATGATGGCCAGGCTGGTCTTCAACTCCTGACCTCAGGTGATCCACCCACCTCAGCCTCCCAAAGTGCTAAGATTACGGGCGTGAGCCAACGCGCCCAGTGGCAAATATGTTTTTAAAAAGTAAAACATGGGCCGGGTCCAGTGGCTCATACCTGTAATCCCAACCCTTTGGGAGGCCAAGGTGGGTGAATCACTTGAGCCCAGGAGTTTGAGACCAGCCTGGGCAACGTGGTGAGACCCCGTCTCTACAAAAACAAAAGCAAGTAAAACACGGCACACCAGCCAAACAGCACACATTGGGGACTGTGAGTTTGCAAACCCGTAAGATAATGTGTCCTCCCCCTCACAGACTGGAAGGTGCGCCGCTATTTGTCACCTGGTGAGGCCAGGCCATCATTCCCCGGTGCTGCCAGGGACGTTTTGGGAATCAGACACGTCAAGCACTTGCTTTTGAGCCACCTCATAGATGCGTGCAAATGATGTTCTTTTGTTTTGTTTTGTTTCTGAGACAGAATTTCATTCTTATTGCCCAGGCTGGAGTGCAGTGGCATGATCTCAGCTCACCACAACTTCTTCCTCCCGGGTTCAAGCAATTCTCCTACCTTAGCCTCCTGAGTAGCTGGGATCACAGGCATGCCCCACCACACCTGACTAATTTTGTATTTTTAGTAGAGACGGGGTTTCTCCATGTTGGTCAGGCTGGTCTCGAATTCCCAACCTCAGGTGATCCATGACCTTGGCCTCCCAAAGTGCTGGGATTACAGCTGTGAGCCACCCAACCCCGGCCACAAATGGTGTTTCTTAGAGTGAAATTTTGGTCAGTAATGAGATTTTTTTTTTTTTTTTTTTTTTTTTTGAGATGGAGGATCGCGCCAGGCTGGAGTGCAATGGCGCGATCTCGGCTCACCGCAACCTCCGCCTCCTGGGTTCAGGCAATTTTCCTGCCTCAGCCTCCTGAGTAGCTGGGATTACAGGCACGCGCCACCATGCCCAGCTAATTTTTTTGTAGTTTTAGTAGAGACGGGGTTTCACCATGTTGACCAGGATGGTCTCGATCTCTTGACCTCGTGATCCACCCGCCTCAGCCTCCCAAAGTGCTGGGATTACAGGCTTGAGCCACCGCGCCCGGCCAAGAGATCTTTAGTTTAAAATGGCAAAAAAAAAAAAAAAAAAAAAAGTGAAATTTTGTTTATAATCAAAAGTCATTTGGAGCTCAAATCTGCTGGGCAAGGAGGGTCGTGACCAAGCCCTGGTGAGGCTGGACTGTCAAGGAGCATGGCGGGTTTTCCTGTGTCACTTAGGCAGCTCCCAGGCTGTGCCCAAGATGAAGGCCTGTAAACATGAGTCTGCTGTGTTAGTTCAGCCAGTGTACGCCTTAACACATACTAGGTTGTCACTGGCTCCATTATTTTTGAGATGGAGTCTCACTCTGTCATCCAGGCTGGAGTGCAGTGGGACCATCTCAGCTCACTGTGACCTTCTGCCTCAGATTACAGGCACATGCCACCATGCCCAGCTAATTTTTGTGGCCAGGAGTTCAAGACCAGCCCAGACAACATAGCAAGACCCCATCTCTACAAAGCATTTTTTAAAAAATTAGCCAGGTGGGGTAGCAAGTGTCTGTATGTAGTCCCAGCTACTTGGGAGGCTGAGGTGGGAGGATCACCTGACCCCGGGATTTCAAGGCTGTAGCGAGCTATGATTGCATCACTGCACTGTAGCCTGGGGAATACAGCAAGACCCTATCTCTAAAAAACAAAGAAATCAGATTCTGGGACCCTCCTCCAAAACAACTGCCTCAGGGAGAGGCCAGGAACGTGGGTGTTCAACAAGCAGCCAGGGGGACCCTTGTGCTCTGGAAGTCCGGGGATCATCTGCAGGTGCCCACTTACCATGTAGGGGGCATGGCTAGACGGGCACATGAGAAACCTGGGAGCTGTTTTATTTTCAGTAAGAGCTTTGAGGTATAATTGACACACCAGAACGTTCGCCTTTCTAAAGCATGCCATTGAGTGCTTTTTGGTGCAGTCACAGATCAGTCACCATCATCTACCCGGGGAGCTTCCATGATCATACGTCAGGCCTTTGCCCCAGAGTCTGATGCCATGAGGCCCAGGAACCTGTAGTTTGCTGGTTTTATTTTACCTGCTGTGCAGCCAGGTATGAGAACCACAGAACTAGCACAGAGGCACTCCACTGGGGCCATGGTGACCTATAGGGGACATTAGCACTGGCTGCAAACACTTCTGATTGTCCCAGTAAGGGGGCTGCCCCTGGATGCAGTGGGGAGCACTCAGGGATACTGCTCAGCACTACTGCAGGGACAATGATAGCCCTCCATGTCAAAAGTGACCACGCTTAAAAAGCCAGCTCTGCAGGAACCTCGAGTCTCTTCCACCCTTAATGTGACCACTTGAGAGCCCCAAGCCCAGTCCACAGTGGCCCCCAGAAACAGAAATGGGGGTGGTGGGACAGTGTCCCTGGTATTTAGTGACGATGTTCTATAGGGACACTTCCTAAATTTTGATGTCTATTTGGAACCAGGGGCTTCTGTTAGAATCAGATTCTGATTCAGGGAGTCTGGGTTGCAGCCTGACTCTAATAAGCTCCTGGGTGATGCTGGGGTCGAGACCATGCCTTGAATAATGAGGGTGTGGTCCACTACAGGCTGCCCCAAGGCTCACGGTTTAATAAACGGCACTCCCTGCTCGGTGCGATGGCTCACGCCTGTAATCTGAGCACTTTGGGAGGCCGAGGCAGGTGGATCACCCGAGTTTAAGAGTTCGAGACCAGCCTGGCCAACATGGTGAAACCCCATCTCTGCTAAAATACAAAAGTTAGGCCAGGTGCAGTGGCTCACGCCTACAAACCCAGCACTTTCGGAGGCCAAGATGGGAGTATCATGAGGTCAAGAGATAAAGACCATCCTGGCCAATATGGTGAAACCCCGTCTCTACTAAAAATACAAAAATTAGCCGGCCATGGTGGTGCACGCCTGTAATCCCAGCTACTCAGGAGGCTGAGGCAGGAGAATCACTTAAACCTGGGAGTCGGAGGTTGCACTGAGCTGAGATCATGCCACTGCATTCCAGCATGGGCAACAGAGTGAGACTCCATTTCAAAAAAAAAAAATTAGCCAGGCATGGTAGAGGGCGCCTGTAGTATCACCTACAGGAGGCTGAGGCAGAACTGCTTGAACCTGGGGTACAGAGGTTGCAGTGAGCTGAGATCGTGCCACTTCACTCCAACCTGGGCGATTGAGAAAGCCTCCGTCTCAAAAAACAAAAACAGCACTCCCGAACCTCCCACTGTGCAGTCCTGGACTTCACAGCCTCATGTGCGGCAGATATGTGCAGCAGCTTAGCATGTGAGAGGTGGGAGAGTCAAAGGGCACTCCACCCCACACTGCAGATTACCACAAAACATTTCTCTCTGCAAAACAAACATTTTCCTACCACTGGAAGGCAGGTATGGCAATTTCCTGAGAATTTTTTTTCCATCTCAAAGAATGGAGGAGCCACAAAGTGAAGACAGGAGGCCAGAGATGTCCTCCCCCTCCTGCTGCTGTGTTCTCTCCCTCCCCTGCTACCCAGGCACCCCAGGCGGATTCAGGGCGCTGGCTGGCCAGGGCCCCCCATCCTGTGGGCTCCAAGAGGCTATTACAAAGGCGGGTTCCCAGGTGGATCCGTTCCTGGGAAGCAAGCATGGCTCGAGTGGGGGTCGCAGCAGTCAGTCGCCAGTGCCAAGCAGCCAGTGAGTAGCCACCACAGGTGGGCTCTGTCAACACAGCCTCTGCAGGTTCCAACTGGGTGGAGATGAAGCCAGGCACTGGTGTGGCAAGAGCACCAAGGCATGCTTCCTGAGAGGCACAGCCACATCCCTGGGAGCCAGGAAGGGCCAATGGGGAGCATCGGATGCCAGGCGAGCACAGGATCTTCAGAAAGATGCTCTCCCACTCAGGTGGCAGGGCTCCGCCAGGGGCTGGTGCTTAGATGGGAGTGAGCGTTGCCCGTGAGCAGCTGTGAGTTGAGCCCCGTGGAGGTGTTGCAGAGGCTCCAGTCTCCCTTCTGCCCCAAGTCCAGGCCCACTCTTGGGGGTGTGTGAGGCCGAGGGTACATTCTCCTAAAGCTGCTCCAGCTCATCCCAGGCAGCCTCGGGTTGCCTGTCTCCTAAGTGACCCAACATCTGCTCCCCCTTTGCCAGCAGCACTCTGCCACATCCTTGTCCCCTGCCCTGTCCTCTGGCCCTTGCGAGCATCCCTGGCTCTTTCTGTTCAGAGGCCCTGCCCTACCCAGTGTCTGCTGGAGGCCTGGCTCAGAGGGTCCAGCCTGTGCCTAGTCACTGGAGCCATGACCAAGAAAAGTTGAGATGAAACCCAGGACGACAGAAGGCAGGTATGAGCCCTATGTGCTCCTAACCAGGAGCGAGGATCTGTCCAGCCAAGCAGGGGCAGGGGTAGGCTGACAGGATGGGGACCCAGGCTGGGAACTAACTTCACAGGAAAAGCCCTGGGTGGACAGGAAGATTCCAGAGCATACTGTGGCTGATAAGGGCAACAGGCAGCAGTGTGCAGCCAGGGAGGCTGGGGGTGGCCCTGTCCTCTGGCCAGCACCCCCCAGAGCTAGCTGGCAGCAAGCCTCGTACACAAGGTAAGACCACAGAGCCTGGCAGTGGTTTGGAATTCATTCTTCTCTTTTGTTAAAAGCGGGAAAGGAAGTGGATGCGGGTACCCCCAGGCTCAGGGGGAGGCATGCAGGCGGCCCCAGCAGGCAGGCGCTGGGAGGCAGTGGGAAGAGTCCTGGAGTTTCCCACAATCCTTTTCTCTGCAAGGAACAGCAACGCTGGCTGATGAAGGGGTGGGGCAGGAGGCAGGGCCCTGGGGAGGGGGCGGTGGGCAGAGGGCTGGGGGCTCACTCTAACATGCAAAGTCCAGCTGCCCCGGGAACTAAGTTGCTTCTGAAGAGCGACACATGTAGAAATACACAGACACGGCCACGCGCACACATGCGGAGAGGCTCTGCATTCCCTAGGGTGGGGGTCGAGGCCTGCCGGCCCCCAAGGAGCTCCAAGCCAGGGATCAGTGATGTCTCCGCCAGGGTGGTCCTCTGCGGTACCCCTGGGCCAGGTGGGGCAGGTTCGTCTTCGAAGGAAGGCCGTGTGGTCTCTGAAGTTCTGACCGCCAGGCACCCAGGCTGCTCTGAACCACTCCATGTGCCGGCCATGACCTTGCGTGTGGACAGCTGCGTGTTCTGGCACCAGACATGTCCCTGCCTGGCTAGAGTCCGTGCTTTCCCCTCCAGGGCTCCAGGGACCAAGGGGTGCAGACATAAAAGGGGTGAAGGGGGCCCGCGGAGACGTCCTCTCCCCCGCCCCACGGGGTCCTGGGCTCCGGGAGGGGGGAGGGGCCTCCCTTATCTCTCTGCCTCCATGGCAGGGTGGGCCCTGGGTTCCGAGGTGGCCTGTTGGGGGGCCAGGGGTGGCCAGTCTGAAGCCGGAGAAGGGGGTGCTGGAGTCCACAGGGGTGGCTGTGGCTGGTGGTGCTGTGGGCCCCCCGGGGGCGAGGCGGCCGTGGGCCAGCTGGGGGCTGAGAAGCTGCCCGTGGCGGCATGGGGGAAGTGCGGTGGGGGCGACGTGGCTGTCGCAGCCATTGGGCTGCCGCTGCCACCGCTGTGGAAACTCTCGGAGGCCTTGAGACGGGAGAACATGGTGAGAGCGTCGGGGAAGTTGGGGGGTGTGGCGGGGGTGTTGGCAGGAGTGCACATCTGTAGGGGGAAGAGAGGAGAGATGGGATGAGCACCCCTTCCTGGAGGGGCCCCCACTGCCTCCCAAGGGGAGACAAGTGGCTTCCCCATTCTCAAAAGGCTCTGCGTCCCTTCCCCAGCTGCCCCAGCTGGTCTGTCACCCAGGGGCTCCCACCCAGGGGCTCCGAGAGAAACCCAGAGATGAACTCACCTGGCCTCACTCTGGGCAGCCCAGTGCCTGGGGCCATAAGGCTTTCCCAGCCCGCCTCATTCCCCTGGCCACAGCATCCCTGGGGTGCTGCAGGATGAGGACCTTCAATGACCCAGAGGCCAGCGCCCCACAGGTCTCACGGGGAACTGCCACAGGCAGGATTAAATGCAGGACCCACGAAGCCACCCATCTCCAAAGAGGTCAAGCCCCCGCCTACACCAGTGCCCTCACATATGTGGGCCAGGGGCTGCTTATGCATGGAACTAGCTTGGCCTCCTTCCACCCAACCCAGAACTGGGGGCTCTGGGGACACTTACCATCTGGTGGTGGTGGTGGCTGTAGGGGATGTTGGTCTCCTGGAAAAAGGCGCTGAGGGCTGTCTGCAGGAAGAAAAGTGCCTGCTCACCCTCCAGGCCCCTGCCAGCCCTGCCGCGCTGCCCCTGTTCTCCCACTTCTCTGAGGTTAGTGATGACCCTGGCTGGAGTAGTGAGTGGGAGGGGCAAGTCTCGGTGCTGAGGCCCAGTGGCTTGCCTGTCACCCCCAACCCACACCACTGTCCAAGGAAGAGCCATGGAACACCATAGGCAGTTTGGGTGCCCACCATTCCCCTGCTGCTTGCCACCTGCCTCAGTGCCTAAGACCTGCAGAGCCCCCTCCGTAACATGACGGACAGTACCCTCACCTCATCCTGGGGTAAAGGCAGCACGGCCCCAAGTAACCCAACCAGAACCCCCACCACCATCCTGTTTCAGGAAATTCTAGCCTGCTGTCACCACCATGACAGGTAGCAAGTCTCTTCTCTAAGCCTCGGTTTCCTCATCTTTGAAGCTGGAGCATCTTGCAGGAGTCTGAGCCTGGCAGGTGGGAACCCCTGCTGCCCCACCCAGCTCTGCTTCTGGCTGATCAAGGGGCCACTGTTTGGGCCTTGTTTTCTCCATCTGTACCACAAAGAGGCTGGACTAAGTGGTTTCCAGGGTCCCCTTTCTTCCAACAGTGATCTGAGGTCACCAGATTCCAGCAGGCAGGGCCTGGTGCCAAGTAGACAAGCCTGGGCTTTAGGCTCACTCGCTCACCTACCCGAGCCTCCCTCGGAACAGCGCCCAGGTGGTGGAGCAGAAAGACAGCCCTAGGATCAAAGCCACCATGGGTTCACAACAGCTCCCGGCATAGCTCCCCAGCTACCCGCTCTTGGCTTGCACCATGCTAGGCACATGATGCTCCACAGTGGGGCCACATGCCACACTGAGCATGGTGCGGGCACCCAGCAGTTCTCTCTCTAAGTGGGAGCATGGATTGTCATCGTTCACCTCACAGGCAGGGAAATGAAGGTAGGAAGTGACTTGCTGACGGTCAGCTGGTCAGCAGGAGACAGAGAAGGGAGTGCTCAGGAACAGCCAGGGCAGGTAGGGGAGGGAGACAGAGCGAGCCTGGAGCCCTTTTCTGTGTGTGTCAGTTCAGCAGGCTTCATTCAGAGGTCCTTGGTGACTGGGAGCTGAGGAGCCCCAGAGGGAGGCACTGGAATTTGCTACGTCCTGGCTGGGGCCCGGCATGGGTGGGGAGGCCTGTCCCAGAGAACGGAGGCTGCTCTTGCACAAGGGCCAGTGAGGGAGCCCTGCAAGTGTGTGAGGGGTCCTTGGGGCCCTGCCAAGTTCCAGGCCCAAACTTGGAGCTTCAAGCAGCTGAGGTGCCCCCACTGCCACCCCTCAGGCCCACTCCCCCCATGCTAGCTTGACTTTCTGGCCCTCCCAGACCTGGTACACCCAGAACTCCAGACTGTTCCCAGGATCTGCCCTTGGTTAGGGGGATGGGGGTAGGAGGGCTGCTATGTTTTAAAAAATCTTTTTAAAATAATCTGGGAAATTTCCTGCAGGAAACATCCTACCTGGGTATCCCCAAACAGGGGTGGTGTGGGAGCTCAGGCATGGGAGCTGGTCTTTAAGCACCTTCCCAGATCCCAAGACCCTCGGTCAGTGGTGGCTGTGTCCCAAAGCCCAGGCTCGCTGTGCAAATCCCAACCGGAACCCCCTCTGCAGGCCACTGGGTATATTCTCCACTGAGAAACATCTGCCCCACTAGACGCAGGCCCCTCCCCCTGCAGCCTCCTGCCCCGGTTAGCACCTGAATTGCAGCGAAAGTGACCCAGAAACACCGCATGGTGGATGCGGGTAGAGCGTGGAGGGGGATGGGGTGGCCACATGAGCCCCTCACTCACCCCCATTCCAAGGCCTGAAGTCCTGTCACCTTCCTCCAGCCTCCCTGGCAGCTTCCACTTTACAGATGGCCCAACTGAGACTCAGGGGGTGGAGGGCCCAGGGCTCCCACCACGGGGTCACTGGGAACCATCAGGGGCTCCTACCCCTCCTGGGAACAGTTTGGTGCCCTAATCACACACCAAATGCACGGGGTGGGGGGCTGCGCATATCAGAGTTTTCAGTTAACCCTGCCGCTGACAGAAGCGGCTCAAGTGGCTTGGGTGGCTGCTGGGTGCCAGGCTCTGAGGGCTGGGCTGGGTCCTGCATGCAGGGCTCGCCTCCCACCCAGACACCTGCCTGCCCAGCCCCAGGCAGGAAGGGAACCCTGCATGCAGATGTGGGACTGCCATGAATGTGGTTTTGCAAGTTTTGCTACATCCAACCCTTGACACAAACAGGGCTGATGTGAGCTGTGGAGGAGAGGGGGGCAGCAGGGAGCTTCCTCTGGGTGGGGCTGCCTCGGGGAACAGGGAGCAGTGAGCTGGCCATCAGAGGCTGACTCACAGCTCCCCCCACAACATGCAGATGTGGAAACTGAGTCCAGAAGGACAGAGCAGCCTCCCACCTCCCAGAGTGAACACCACAAACGGTCAGTAGCCCCCAAGACCTCTGGCAGGAGGGAAGTGGGCAAGGAGGGAGGGATGGAGTCATCTGGGTGGGATGGCCACTGCCTTCCCAGACTGTCCCAAGCTTAGGACATTCTGATCCCCAACCAGTCCCCAGGAGGCGGAGCCCCAGAGTCCTCTAGCTCCTGGTACCTCCTGCAGGCCCTGGCACAACTCCTCATGGAGAAACCAGGTTTCCAGTCCCCAGTTGGGCACGGATGGTACGATGGCTTAGGCCGTGACCCTGCCCTTGAGGGGCACAGCTCATAGGGCTCTGGCCTCATCCCGATACTACCATGGGGTTAATCCTGGGGTCGGTGAATTAGGGAAGGCCAGACAGCCTCTGGGCAGCAGAAGCCAAGAGCACTACTACCCTGTGTTAAGGGAGGCCCGGGGAGTGGGTGCCAGACTGGCGCAGCCTCACCTCCTACCCAGCTGGCCTGAAAGCTGGTGAATTGTGTACATCCTCCCCAGTGCACCGGCAAAGGCACAGATACCCCTGCCAGCCTCTGGAGAGCACCTGGACGCGAGCATGGTGTCCCCAGGCACACCTCTGGAGGGGGTACATGCTCATCCCTATGCTGTAGTATGGGGCTCCGACACGACACCCATACACTCCACGCCGTGTACACACATCACACCGTGCCGGGCAGGGGCTGCATCTGCACACCCGCCACATATGTACGTGCTGATCACACACCAAACGCACCGGGGGGCTGCGCGTTCACACGCGCGCCAGCCAACGTGCCAGCAGGTCCGCCACCTCCACGGTACCCGGCCAACGCCGTGGCGCGGTGCGTGCGTAAACACAAATGCACATGGACGTCTGCGCACGCCGACGGCTGCCCACCAGGCACGCGGACCCTCGGACCACTAGCCCGGAGCGGCTCCGCCCTCCGGCCCAGCTCGGCCGAGGCCTGGGGCGTCCTCCTTCCGGCCGCCAGCCCGACTGTCTGTCCGCACCGAGGCGCAGCCCCGCCCTCGGCCGTTACCCGGACAAAAGGGGTGGGGGGGGTCTTCGTCTCGATCCCGGGGGACTCGGGGCCCCGCGGGGGCGACGTATCGCCGACCCGTAGCCCGGTTCCGACCTCCGCCCGCTGGGAGCCCTCGGGGCCGGGACGCCGGGCGGCGCCGTCTGGAGAGCGGGTCAAGTCCGCGGCCCGGAGCGGAGCGCACAGCCGGCACGCGTCCACACCGCCCACCCCCCGCCCCGCGGCCACGCGGGACACATTCCACCCGCGGCCCCAGCCCCGGCGCTGCGCACCTCGAACTGCCAGTGGGCCGCCTGCAGCAGCTGCTTCGCCTGGTCGGCCGCGCAGCCCGCCGTCAGCACGAACTGGTTGATCATGACCTGGTGCTTGAGCTCGTCCATGTTCACGGACATGGCGCCGCCGCGCTGCCCGCTCCGGCCTCCCTCCGCCGCCCGCGCCTCCGCCTCACGCGTCCACCATTAGCGAGCCGGCTCCGGCTAATACAAATATTTACTGTGCGGCTCTGACTCACCGCGCCTCGCCTCGCTCCGCCGGCGCCGCTGCATGCTGGGAGATGTAGTCCCCGCGCCGCGCCAGGCGCCCCGGCGGAGTGTGGCCGGTGCCCCGGGGGACGCGAAGCTGGGGAAGGGGCGTGTCTAAGCGCCGAGCGCCCGCTGTGCGGATGCCCACGCCGTGACCCGAGCCGGGTATGTCCACGTCGCCCTAGTTGCTCTCAGTGGCACCCGCGCCCCTGCTCTAGCACAGATGGGGCTCCCCAGGCGGGGGCCACGTCTGTGCATGGGCGCCAACGCCCGACCACAGGGTCTTGGCCAAGTCCTGGGGACCGTGTCTGAACGCTGAGTGCCTACTGTGTGCATATGCCCGGACCGTGACCAGGGCCGGGGGCCTCCACGTCGCCCTTGTTGCTCTGGGTGGCACCTGCGCTACTGTTCTGGCACCGATGGAGGTCCGCAGGCGCGGGCCTCAGATCTGTGCATAGGCGTCTTTGCCAAGGCCCAGGAACGGTGTCTGAATGCTGAGCGCCTACTGTGTGCAAGCACCTGGGCCGGGACGAGAGCCAGTTATGTCCACGTCGCCCTCGTTGCTCTCCGTAGCATCCACGAGCTCTGGCCGGAATTAGAAGCCCAGAGGCCGGGGCCACAGATGTGTGTATCGGCGCAAACCGCCAGGCCACAGATGTCTTTGCCAAGCCCCGGGTATTGTGACTGAACGCTGAGCGCCTACTGTCTGCAGATGTCCAGGCCATGGCCAGAGCCAGGCATGTCCATGTTGCCCTCGTTGCTCTCGGTGGCATCCGTTCCCCTGCGCTGGCACAAATTGGGGTCCCAAGGTGGGGGACACAGATGTGTGCATGGGCGCAAACACTGGGCCACAGGCGTCTTTGCCAAGACCCAGGGACCCTGAACCCCTCTGTAACTGGCATCGCACTGTGTTAAGTAGTAGGCACATCCTTAAGAGAGGAGGCTCTAGGAATTTTGGCCCAAATCTTTGGTCTAGGCTGCAAAGTCCCGAAAGGCCTGGCACACTGTAGGTGCCAACAAATACTCATTCCGTGAATGAATGAATGAATGAATGAATGAGTGAATCCGCCCTTCAAAGCTCCGCTGCAAGTCATCGCCTCCAGGCAGCCTCCTGGGTCTCCCCACTCAGTCTCGCAACGCCCACTCGTGGCTCAGGTCCCTCCCAGCTTCGCTCTGGACCTGCCCCACAGTAGCCCGATGACTCTGTGGACGGCGCCTGGGACAGGCTGACGGGGCCGGCAGCCTCTGGCGCTTCGGGGTCCTCCTCCCAGCAGTTCTCCCACGGTCCCACCGTTCTTGCTCTTTGCCGGAAATCTCGGCTATCAGCTGGCGGGCGCCAGGGCCCCGCGGAGCCACTTCCGGAGCGGCTTCAAACTCCCATTCCCAGAATGCCCCGGTTTATTTGCATCGTTTGGTCTAGGTGACGTCAGGTGAGTGAGGTCGTATCTTGACCAATAGGCAGCCTCGAGGTGTTAGGACCTGGCCATATAAGGTAAACAAAGCTGGTCGCCCAATGAGGAGGCGGCTGGGGCGGGTCCTGGGCCAGGGAGGCCGGGGGCGGGCCGGGGGCGGGCCGGGGGCGGGGCGGCCGGGCCGTGTTTACAGACCCGCACATGGCGCTTCCGGTCGACGTCGCGGGCGGCTAGGGAGGCCTTGGCGGGTTCGGAGTGGCCGGGGTCGGTGAAGCGCGGTCACGGCCGCTCTCGGTGACCTTCGTCCGGCTCCTTGCGCACCGTGGCCGCACTCTCGTTCGTTGAGTCACTGTTTGTTGTGTCGTCCTCTGCTTCTGGCCCGGGGCGACAGGAGAGCAATAGCCGGGTGGAAGGCTGTGAGGACTGCTCTGAAGGATGAGTGTAGCCTAGCGAGATGGAAAATGCCCTCCGGGGTTGGCGCGGTGACTTGTAATTCCAACAACTACTAGGCCGAGGAAGGAGGATTTCCCAGGCCCAGGAGTTTGAGAACATGCCTCTACAGAGATACAAATGTTAAGAAAATTAGCCGGTTTCAGGCTTGGCACGGGGGCTCAAGTCTGTAATCCCAGCACTTTGGGAGGCCAAGGCTGGCGGATCACCAGGTCAGGAATTGGAGACCAGTCTGACCATGGTGAAACCCCGACTCTACTAAAAATACAAAAATTAGCTGGTCGTGGTGGCGCGTGTGTGTAATCCCAGCTACTCGGGAGGTTGAGACAGGAGAATCACTTGAACCCGGGAGGCAGAGTTCGCGCCACTGCGCTCCAACCTGGGCGACAGAGTGAGACTCCGTTTGAAAAAGGCACACCTGTAATCCTAGCACTTTGGGAGGCCGAGGGGGGGAGGATCACGAGGTCGGGAGTTCAAGACCAGACTGGCCAACGTGGTGAAACCCCATCTCTACTAAAAAATACAGAAATTAGCTGGGCATGGTGGCTCGTGCCTGTAATCCCAGCTACTTGGGAGGCTGAGGTATGAGAACTCTTTGAACCGGGACCCGGGAGGCGGAGGTTGCAGTGAGCCAAGATCGCGCCACTGCACTTAAGCCTGGGTTGCAGAGTGAGACTGCATCTCAAAAAAAAAAACTAGCCGGGTTCCATGGCTCACACCTGTAATCTCAACACTTGGAGGCCGAGACAGGCAGATCACTTGAGTCCAGGAGTTTGTGAACAGCCTGGGCAACATGGTGAGACCCTTGTCTCTACAAAATTAAAAATAGGGGCCGGGCGTGGTGACTCACGCCTGTAATCCAAGCACTTTGGAGGCCAAGGCAGGCGGATCACCTGAGGTCGGGAGTTCAAGACCAGCCTGACCAACATGGTGAAACCCCGTCTCTTAAAAAAAAAAATAAAATAATAAAAATAAAAATAATTGTCAGGGTGCAGTGGCTCACACCTATAATCCTAGCATTTTGGGAAGCCGAGATGGGTAGATCACTTGAGGTCAGGAGTTCAAGACCAGCCTGGAAAACATAGTGAAACCCTGCCTTTACTAAAAATACCAAATTAGCCGGGTGTGGTGTCGCTCGCCTGTAATCCCAGCTACTTGGGAGGCTGAGGCAGAGGTTTCAGTGAGCTGTGATCGCGCCACTGCACTCCAGCCTGGCGACAGAAGAGACTCTGTTTCAAAAAAAAAAATCACTACAGCAGATTAAAGTAGGTGGATCCCTTGAGCCCTAGAGGTTCAGGCTGCAGTGAGCCATGATTGTGCATGGGCAAGAGGGTAAGATCCTGTCTGCAAAAAATAAGAAATTCCCTAGGGAGGTGGGCACTGGCCTTGGGGGTGAGTTAAGGGCCACTGAAGTGTTTAAGTAGATCTGATCCCTTGTACGCTTAGGGATCACTGTGGCTGTAGCACTGCCAGGATCAGATGGTGCTGGAGAGCTCCAGTCTGAACTAGGCGATGTTCTTGATCTGTCTGGTTCCAGGGTCTGTCTTGCCCGCAGAATTGTTTGGAATGGAGGGACTTGCCTCAGGCTGCAGCTCCTACCTCGTCCCTTCAAGCCTGCCAAGGACTCTCCCATTGGGTAGTGGGAGGAGGACAGTGGGGGAACTAGTGGACTGGACCTGAAATATCCTGGGGTGCCGGGTAGGGTAGTGGAGGAAGCTGGGGCACCGAGATAGCTGAGAGGGTTGGGAAGAGAAAGGAGTCAGGGTGCAGTGGGCTTGGCCTCTGAGGGCTGGGGCTGGGAGCCTGGGCTATGGGAATGGGGCAGACCTGAGTGGTCTCTTCCCAGGCAGGCACTTAGTATTGGCAGAAGCCACCTGACCCGGGGAAATATAGCTGAAGCTTCTTTCCAGCTGCTTGGGGATCACTCAGGGGCAATAGTATTTTGCAAACCCTGATGGCTTTAAGAGATGTTTGCTGATGCTAAGAGTTGCCCCTTAACCTTTGCAAAGTTCATCTGCATGAATTGTTGTGGGCAAAGTGCTCTATAGGGTAGGCAGGCAATAAAAACTAGCTCTGAATAGAATTACTGCTATAATGATTACCACTGGGCCTGCAACACAGCATGAGAGAAGGCGGGCAGGTTCAGGAGCCAGACAGACCTGGGTGTTAGGCTTGACTCTGCTGCTTAATAACACTGCTTAATGACTTAATGCTTAATCTTGAGCGAGTTATTGGAGCTCTGGGCTTTACTTTCTCACCGGTGGGGCTGAGTTCTGGCAGCACTGCTGTGGAAGATGAATGCCTGTCAGGGGCGGAGTGCAGGTCGGGTGCTTGGTGCACGGTTTTAGCACTCTCGCTTCTTTGCCTTCATCTGGACCACTCTGGGAAGCCCCAGCCCTCTTTTACAGGTAAAACTGAGGCTGGAATCCGGCCTTAGACTCTGACATTCAGAACCTGTAGAGAAGAGCAGGCACTCACGGTGACTCTCTGGCAAGGGAGGAGGGACACTGTCCTGGCAGGGCCCACTGGGGCTTGTCTTGTACAGGGAGTTAGGAAGTACCTGCGCCCCTCCTTCCACCCTCGTCCACGTACTACTCAGCTGCGTGCCCAGGCTTGCCCAGCCCAGGAGGAGCTCTCTCAGCCCAGCAGACTGGCAAGAGTGGGCAAGTGGGGCTGGCAGAGTCAAAGGTCACCCTACTGGTCTCCATGTAACCCCGTCACCCCCATCCTCTAAACCAGCTTGTTTTTCCGGGGCAACAGGGAATTAAAAAACAAGCGTATTTTCAGCCAAGAGGAGCCTGACTGGAGAGTGAACTTTGGATTCCTTAGCAGGCTGGGATGGAACGTGACAGCTGGGGCCAGCACCTAGCGGTGGGGAGAGGAGAAGGCACTTCCATCAGTGCCCTTATCTCACCTGAGGGCCCAAGAGGTTCAAGGCTTTGTCAGACTTCACATGGCCAGTCGATGGAGGGCCCAGGGCCTTGGCCTCCTCCTCCTCCTCACCCCAGTCTTTCATTTATTCCATAGACATGTTTATCAGACACTCATTGGGTGCCTGGCCCTGGGAGCACAAGAATAGGCCAGGATCCTGCCTGCTCAAGGGCTTGAGAAGTCTAGACCTGAGACTCGGGCACTCAGACAAGGAAGCTACCAGTTGTCTCCAGGGTCCGCCTTTATGTTTCCTTTTTATTTTTTGAGACAGGGTCTCACTCTGTCACCCAGGCTGGAGTGCAGTGGCACAATCATGGCTCACTGCATCCTCGACCTCCCGGGCTCAAATAATCCTCCCACCTCTGCCATCCAAGTAGCTGGGACTACATTTGTGCACCACAAGCCTGGTTAATGTTTATATTT